TCTCCTTATCCCGCACTCTAATTTTATAAAATACACGCACGAGGTGCACACAGCACACTCCATTTTTCTTCACATGGCCTAGACAAATTAATTCAACCCAAGCATGAAATAAGGAGAAGTAAGAGAAAATTGCTGTCCATTCATTGACTTCATTCCTGCATCCTGCTCTGGAACTCAAGCAGTTTTTGTAAAAGCCGTCCACTTTCTTTGATCAACAATGGCGTCGTGCCAATTCCTCTGCAATCACCAACTCTACTCGCCCGCAAACGGCAAACCCCACTGGAATTCCTTTAGTAAAAGCAGTTTCTCACTACCCTCTTCGATTAAGCCAAATGGGTCATCGATTGTGCAGAATAATTGTAAATCTTCAAGGTCCCTTTTGGTCAAAGCCACAGCTTCTGATTCGAAAACTGGCAGAAAACAAGTGGAGGTACCATGTTTTCATTTTGATTCAATTTATGTTTGAGTTATGTCTTTTGAGTTTGTGGATTGAATGAAGTTGGTCTGTGTTTGGAAGTCGATCTTCGAAGAAAAATATGTGCTTTAGTTGTCATTTTGACTGTGTGGTTGTTTAGGTTGTCTATGATTTTGAAGGTAAGTCTAACAAGCTGACAGATGAAGTGGATAAAGATGCGGGGTCGTCAAGGCTCACTCTCTTTTCGCCTTGCAAGGTAAGGTAATGATGTATTGTGTGCTTAAATCACAGAGCTTCATTAGCTTATTCGGATAATTTTATTATAAACTTTGGTGAATTTGGTATCTTTTGGAGTGCAGATTAATGTTTTCTTGCGAATAACAGGAAAAAGAGCAGATGGCTATCATGATTTGGCATCTCTATTCCATGTTAGTTATTTTCATTTCTGCCAGTAAACCTTTCTTGCTCAACAATCTTTTGTCATTACTGTTTGTAATAATCTATTGCTTTTGTTCGTCAGGTAATCAGTCTAGGAGACAAAATAAAGTTCTCTTTGTCCCCATCAAAATCGGCAGATCGTTTATCGACCAATGTCCCAGGGGTTCCTCTAGATGAGAGAAATTTGGTAAAATAATAAAACTGGGCCCTTTACAGCTTTTCTGCTTTCGATGATTTTTTTGTGGGAAAGTAACTGTTTTTCAAATTTTTGCAGATAATTAAGGCTCTTAATCTTTTCAGGAAAAAGACTGGAGTTGACAACTACTTCTGGGTAATTTCAGTGGATACCGATAACGAATTTACTAGCTGGACAATCTGAACTCAAATGAGTATGTTGTAAGATGATTTCGTTTGTTTCTTTTAGATCCATCTTGATAAGAAGGTGCCTACAGGAGCCGGGCTTGGTGGTGGCAGTAGCAATGCTGCCACTGCTTTATGGGCGGCAAATCAGTTCAGTGGTTGTGTTGTGACTGAAAAGGAGCTTCAAGATTGGTCTGGCGAGATTGGCTCAGACATTCCCTTCTTTTTCTCCCAGGGATCTGCTTATTGCACGGGTAGAGGCGAGGTATTGCATGTTTTCAGCATATATGATACAGTCTCTCTCATGAAAGATATGGTCATTCAGCTTTTCATGTCATATTCTGTTTTTGATATTAGAGTCATGCAACTGTAGGGGTTGGCCGTAAATCATATATCTGAAAAAATCCTCATAATATCAATTTTTTAAGGAAAGGAGAACTATATATTTCACTCAATTTTGATTTATACTTGGAAATCGAGGGAAAAGTGCATGTGTTAACATTTCCTACTATGGACATCCAATGAGTAATTTGGCATGTGTAAGGGAAACTGATTTTCACATCAGCTGGTTTGGTATGAAACTGTTAATTACATTGATTTTGTCTTCGCAATCTTTAAAATTTTCAGGGACCAAAAATCCTCGAACAAAAAAAGGAGGCTTTTAAATTTATGAGGCTTTTTTTATTATACTTTTTAAGTACAGTACTATTATTTCCTAACACCCCTATAACCACATTTCTAAAATTGTAATTTATCTATTCGTGACGTGTTCGCTAGAAATATAGCATGGCGTTTCTCAAACTTAATGATAGGTCGAAAAATATGCGTATTTCAATGTCACTTAATAAGAAAAGATTTCCAGGTTGTTGAAGATATTCCTCCATCTATACCCCTTGACCTTCCAATGGTTCTCATTAAACCGCAAGAGGCGTGCCCCACTGCTGAAGTTTACAAGGTGCTACAGAGCATTTTAAGTTGCTGGATAATATTGTCTTGGTTAGGAGTACATTGTTCCACAACCTTCTTACATCATTGTTCTCTCAGGCCCTTAGGATGGAAAATACGAGCAAGATTGATCCTTTGAGTTTGTTAGAGAAGATTTCAAGTAATGGAATATCACAGGATGTTTGCATCAATGATTTAGGTATGACCTCAACAGTTGTTCGTGTGGCAGCATTAGGTTTAAACTTACTTCTCCCTTTATGTAAGCAAAGTAATCAGTGGGTATTCACATAGAAAGACCTCAAGATCCATTTTCTGAGACAGAATCGGTTTTATAGTTCAGAATTAAGCAAATACTTATTTATCTTCTCTCCCTTGCTATGTCCGATTAGACAGGTACACCTTTTGGGATTTACCAACTCGGTTAGAACCAAAATATATGTATATTAGGGAGCCAGCGTATACAAACTCCTTTGCATCTTATGTCTTATAATATTCAATCTGGTACGATAGGCTTCTGATGAGGCTTTTTGTGAAACAATATTGAATCAAAGGGATAGTTGTTAAAGAAAATGGTTTCTACAGTTTCTAAGTTGGAAATAGTAACCTCCTCTTGGTTCATGTAATAAGATAAAACCTATATTTGGACCTGTTCTCTGGCATTGCACAAAATAAGACTAATACCCTCGTCCTATTCTTTTGCTTTGGTTGGTCACTTTTTTTTTTTTGTCAGAATTTTATGTATGCTTTACTTAATATTGCTTTACTTAATATATAGTCATATGATGTTTTACAGAACCACCAGCTTTTGAGGTCCTCCCTTCTCTAAAAAGGTTAAAACAGCGAATAGCTGCTGCTGGTCGAGGACAGTATGATGCTGTTTTCATGTCTGGCAGGTATTTACTTGTTCACCTCATATTTGGCATCTGGAATCAAAGGATTCTGGCTCCCTTCCCATATTTTTCCTTTTTCAATGTATACGATAAAGGTTTCCTTGAAAAAAAAAAAAGAAAAGTGAGAATATTTTTACTCATATCCATCCTGCATTTGCATGGTCTCTCATTATTATGAGCAATTTCAATAGTGAAACCAAGTAAAGACATGTGCCACCACGTAAGGCCAGTTTTTAGGAGGACGACTTTTTTTTTACCCTTGGGTTTCATATTGTTTACTTATATAGCCATCAACCATTATTCGGGATTTTATTCTCGTTTTAAAACACGAGGTGCTTCAAGATCATTTTATTCTCATTTCATACCTTCCTCGCATATTAATCAATATGATCATGAATTAATGGGCTAGAAATTTCTGAATGTACTATCAAAACGGCTGTTCTTGTTTATAGTGGGTGTACTGAAAAGATCACGATCATCTGAAATGTGTAGATTATACCATTTTACCACTTTATTCTTGGCCATGTAACTATTTTTTACTTCATTATTGTGCAGTGGGAGCACTATCGTGGGTGTAGGCTCTCCAGATCCTCCTCAATTTGTCAATGATGACGATGAGTACAAGAATGTCTTTGTATCAGGTAAATAAATCAATGTAAACAATTTAGTTTGTACTCCTGGTGATTTGGTTAAACTTAAATTAAGGGCGTGTTCATAAATCCTAGATAAAAATGAATGTGGGCTTTTAGGGACAAACACATGAAGTACGTTTTCTCATCTAAAAGCCGATAGTGACTGATTTTTCCAGCGTGCTTGACAGCCTTCCATGAATGACTCGACTACAAATTCAAATGTTTTCTGATCAGTTTTTTATATGTTTGACGAAAGCAGCTAATTCTACAGTCTGTGTGCTAACTTGTGAAGAAGACATCGGATTTTTGTTCATTGTTTTCATCTGGACTTTATGTTTGATGTGATTGCAGAGGCCAGCTTTATTACACGTCCAACGAACCAATGGTATGCGGAACCTATTTCTACAGACGCTAGCACTTCAACCACAGGATCTTCTTAATAGCATGCTCGCGTAAAATCTTCATGTATGAGGAGTGCCATGCAT